CCCCAAAACCCCAAAACCCCAAAACCCCAAAACCCCAAAACCCCAGGCAGTTTTAAGATTATTGATAATCCAGGATTGAGCTAAATTTTAGATATCAGATTCTTTAAATCTGTCATCTCAGTTGCGTCGCCTAGACATTAAGACAAGATTTTTACCCTTTAAGTTTAAGAAATTTACTGGTTTGTTATCTAAAGTTATTGTTAAAATTACTTTTATTCAGTTCAAACTCAAAAACAACTCTCATTGTTGAAGGTGATTTAGTGTCATTGATCTTTGCAGTATATCTATAATTTATTTGTAAAACTACATTAAGGATTTCGGCTTTACAAGACTAAGCTCTAAATTTATGTTCGATTTAGTCTTATCTCCATATTCTGAATAAATTTTATAATTCTTCAAAGCGAGAGAACTATTTGTGAACTCTTTGTTGATCTACCGATTTATTTAGATCCATTTAATACCTTAACATCCTTAGTGCTATTTTTCGGAGGTTTTAAAACTCTCGGTTTTCTAATATGGCAATGAAAATGATCCTTTATAGTCCTTTGCTTTGTATCTAAATTCCAGTCCTCGCTTAGATAAAAATCTTTTGCAAAATTTTTGATTGCTAAAAATAAAATGCAATTTTACCTTTCTCAAATTCATTTGAAACTTGAGAATCGGAAAGTTTCAGGTCATGATTTTTAGCAACTCAGATGGGTTCATCTCATTGATCTCACAACAAAAATCTGTACAGTCATAAAAATCTTACTTAAAGTTCATTGTGTCATACTTTGTATACCAAATTGTGGTTTTCTCAAGAGCACATAGTTCTCATCTTTGTTTTAAAAGCTCTTTTTCGTATTCTTGAAGCTGCTTTACGAAGCCTAAAATATTAAAGGAAACTACCAGCATTAGGGTTAATAAATCTTCTTTCTATAAGTTAGATAGTTTTAATACTTTCTTTGACAAATTGGAGTGCTTCTTCAAAAGTTTTTCCGGTGGTTTTCATAATGAAAGCAGTCACAATAGTAGCGCTTCTAGAGACTCCAGCAGTTCATACTATCAACACTGGTTTGGATTGGGAAAGATAGCTTGATATTAATTCAATTGTGGGATCAAAGAACTCCTTAATACAAAAATCAGGATGATCCTCAATCTCTAAAGACTTTGTATCTACGCTTGAAAACATATTAGTGTAGTTCTTGCTTCTCTTCAACCCTTTAACCCCACTACCTCCATTAGCATAGATTATGAGCTGAATCTTCTTCTTTCTAATTGTTAAAATTTTTGTTGCAGATATCTGATTGCCTAAGTACAAGTTTGGCACAATCTCCCTATTTATGTTAACATTATGGTTACTGAAAATCATTAAAATCTTGCATAAATTTCTTTTGCTGCTCAGGATCTTGATTTTCTGAATGATTCTTAAGGTAGTTCGAATAAGATTTGCTTGACGCCATTTCCTCCTTTTCAATATATTTAATATCAAATGGGGTTTTGGGGTTTTGGGGTTTTGGGGTTTTGGGG